GGCTGAGTGTGCTATGATATTGTTCTGGTTATATTATGACTGAGTGTGTCGTGATATTGTTCTGGTTATATTATGACTGAGTGTGTCGTGATATTGTTCTGGTTATATTATGACTGAGTGTGCTATGATATTGTTCTGGTTATATCATGGCTGAGTGTGCTTTGATATTGTTCTGTTTATATTATGGCTGAGTATGCTATGATATTGTTCTGTTTATGTTATGGCTGAGTGTGCTATGATATTCTGTTTATATTATGATTGAGTGTGCTTTGATATTGTTCTGGTTATATTACTTAATCAGGAGTTAAGTTTTCACAATTTTATTTTCTCCCCAGGTTTCTGCCACATTTGCAGCCAGCCTAGTCACCAGCCCTGCCCTAGGAGCCTACCTCTCACAGACTTATAGTGATAATCTAGTGGTAGCGCTGGCATCAGCCATAGCTCTGTTGGATTTTTTTTTCATTCTGGTAGCTGTACCAGAATCCCTACCTGAAAAATTGCGACCTACGTCCCGGGAGGAAAGCATAACATGGAAGCATGCTGATCCTTTCTCTGTGAGTATTATTCTTTATCATGGAACTTGTCACAAGATTGTTTAGTAAATTACACATTTACACCTGTTCTTAGTTTTATGATATACTGGGTAACATTGTTTGTACAATCAGTTTTTTTGTGTTTTTTTTGTAGAACTTAATAGAGTTTTGGAAAGATGGTTTACATTTAATCCTGTTAAGTTTTGTTTCATAATAATGTTATATTTTCAGGATTTATTGAATAATAATAATATATATATATACTTTGTTTAATAATGATGTTAAATTTACCTTGTCTATTTAATAATGATGTAGTATTTACCTTGTTTGGTTAATAATAATGTTATATTTACCTTGTTTATTCAATAATAATGTTGTATATACATACGCACTTTTGTTGATGATGATGTTATACATATCTTGTGTGTCTGATAATAACTTTATATTTTCCTGTGATTTTGTAGTTGAACTTGAGGTTTCTAATTGACAAAAATAATGATCGTGTGAAGTCTACTTGCTTCACTATAATTACTGTTGCTACCTTTTCTGTTTGTGAAAAGTTAAGAGCCACATTCGTTTTCCAATAAAATCCTAAATACCAAAAACCACTGAGATCTCACACCAGGCTCTTACCAACTATTTGTAGCCTATCATTACAACAATAAATGATATTTAATGAATTAATCAATTCCAAAAGTGTGTGATTTAAAACTTAGCAGAACAGTTGTTTTGCGTATATATAAAACAGGAAGTCCTCTTATTCTGTAGGCACTTCGGAAGGTTGGGAAAGATCAGATGATCTTGATGCTGTGTATGGCAGTATTTCTTTCTTACCTACCAGAAGCTGGCCAGTACTCATGTTTCTTTGTTTACTTAAGATTGGTAAGTATTTCACTTCCCAGAACTCATATTTTTTGTTTACCTATTTCTATTAGTTTTCAGAGTTTTAGTTTCGCTTGAGTTGTTGTGTTTTTAAACCTGTCACTCTAGTTCTCCAGAATTAAAATAGTTTTGCATATGAAAATTAAACCTAACCTCTCATATTTATTATCTTGATTTGATGAAAAAAATAAATATTTATGCCTCAGTTTATGTGAAATAAAGTATTTTTGCCTATTAATTGAGTTTGCCAAAAAAAACATTAATTTTGTTCTAAATGTTCATAGACACAAAAAGAAAAAACATAAAGAGAAGAAAAACTTACTTATATTTTCAAATATTTTGGTTCTGGTTTTATCAGGGCCACAAGCTGAATGGAGAAATTATCTTTGTAGTAAATTAGTAAAGTAGCTGTTGTCTTGTGTCTACTTCACATGTCAACCAGTGACATCACAATAAAGTATGGAGAGTGATATCTGTTCTGTTGTCTGGCATCTACTTCAATTGGCAGCTAGAAACATTACAACAAGAGTTAGAAAGTGATCTTTCTACACAACATAGTAACCACTGCAGTTCTCTTGAGGTAATTGATGTAACCCTCTAGCTTGTTGAGGTTCCCCCCCAAGGTAACTGATGGTAATCCTCTCTAGCTTGTTAATGTTCACTCAAGGTAACCCTCTCCAGCTTCTTTCAAGGTAATTGATGATAATTCTTTCTAGCTTGTTAATGTTCTTTCAAGGTAACAGATGGTAACCCTCTCCAGTTTATTAAGGTTCTTTCAAGGTAATTGATGGTAACCCTTTCTAGCTTGTTAAGGTTCTCTCAAGTTTACAGATGGTAACCCTCTCCAGCTTATTAAGGTTCTCTCAAGGTTACAGATGGTAACCCTCTCCAGCTTATTAAGGTTCTCTCAAGGTAACAGATGGTAACCCTCTCCAGCTTATTAAGGTTCTTACAAAGTAATTGATGGTAACCTTCCACAGTTTGTTAGGGTTTTCTGCATGTGAAAAATATATAAAAGTAATAATAAACTTTATTCAAAAAATACAGTAACAGCAACTTTTTAACAATTACATTGTTTCAACCCATATCATCAAGACTTGCCCACTCTAAAAGTTGCCGTTATTGTATTTTTCAATTAATTATTCAGTTCAGTGGGTTTCTGATTAAGCAGTAATAAACTTAATTGTAGCGGAAAATTTAGTTTGAAGTTTTTTTCTGAGAATATGTGACTGTTGTACTGTTGCAGGTAATGGGATTTTCAGCTGAAGAAGTTGCTTTATTTATTGCAGTAGTTGGTCTCCTCTCTGTAGTGGCACAGGTGAGCTCATTTTGAAATCTGACATTGTAAAAAGAAAATCTTTGAGATATAAAATGTGTTATTTATGTATAATCTGAATGTTTTCTCTGTTTTTGCTAGACTATGGTCTTGACTCTTCTGATGAAGACACTAGGAAACAAGAACACCATCATGGTTGGGCTCTTCTTCGAGATGCTTCAGTTGATGTGCTACGGCTTCTGTTCTCAGAGATGGTTAATCAATTTTACACTGTTTTGAGATGATGCTGTACTAGTATAGAAATGAGTCAAAATTTGTCTCATTTTTACACTTTCGATTAAAGTCTATAAAATGTGTTTTGTTTTATATAGACCTTCACATAAAATATAGTTTTTGTTGTGTATATATATAAAATGTACATGGTTTATATAGACTTTCATATTAAATATAGCTTTTGTTTTTGTTTTGGATAAGTTCAAGTTTTGCTATTGTTAATGTACAAGTTCATATTCTTTGTATTTTATCAGGATTTTGTGGGCAGCTGGTGGATTTGTTTCAATGTGCAGTATTACTTACCCAGCTATCAGTGCTTTTGTCTCAACACGTGCAGAAATTGACAAACAAGGTGGGTACCATTTTGCTTGTTTTTTCTATGGGGTATACATCTGGACAGTTTGTTTGACATTTTCCCATGATTATAAAAGCAGTTTTGTTTCATTGCCAGGCTGACCATGGGATGCGCATTAAAAAAACCTGGACTTCAATAAAGTATTGTCACTTCCCTGCTGATGATTACATATCAAGCATGCACATTTCTCAGCAAAAAAGCCTTCTGGTGGAAGCTACTTTGATATTAATTGAGAACAGCATTGTTTACTAGCCATTATCTTATGTTAGGCCTAACAATGTGAAGTGCTTTGGGATATTTACCACTGTAAAATAGTTTTATAAGTTACCTCTAAAGGTAGTTTCTAACTATTTTACATAAGTTTTTATCAACTTTAGATACTTATATATTTGGAAAAGTTGATGACAACATTTCCTGTATGGTCTGAATGTTGAATAAGAACATCTTGATGTAAGTTAACAAGCCATGTGTTTATGAAGCATTGAAAACTATGAGGAATGGTTTTTGATACAATGGTTTTTTATAGTTTGAAATGTGATTGTCATGCAGTAAAAACCAACAAACTACTGTCACATACATAAACACATATGAAGTATGGTTCAGCTTAGATGATACATCTCCAAGCTATACGGTGCACGACGTATTTGCTACAACTCCACCTATATCACACGTTCTATTAGCCTCTTGTTTGTGTTGAAATGTTTTGAATGCATTTATTCATTTTACACTTGCTTAATGGTTGTGTGTATACATGTACACATTGTTCTGCAGCGAATATAATTCATCTTGTCTGTGGCATACTGTGCTAACTTCACTGTTTGACATTAATTTATGATAGTCAGTTTCTTGTGGTTTACTGTGCTAATTTAAAAAAAATGAATTTAATTAGAATTTTGTCATCATCGTAGGAGTGGTCCAAGGCATGATTACAGGAATGAGAGGGCTATGTAATGGATTAGGTCCTGCTGTCTACGGGTTGATCTTTTATCTCTTTCATGTGGACTTGAGTGAAGAAACTGCTAGAAGAGATCTACCTGATGGAACTCAGAATAATGAATATTCCAATTTCACAAGAATGCTCAATCCAGAAGATACTCAGGTACTGTCAGTAGTACTGGAACATTTATTATTTACTGTCAGTCCTATAAATGTTCTAATTTATTTTTACACCGAGTTCCTTGATTACAACTGTGACATCTTCCTTCTCTTTCCAATTTGATCTATGGCTTTAAATACAATTTTCTGTTATTAATTTACTGCTGGGATTGGAACTACATACATTTTACTATGTTCCACAGTTGGTCCCTGGACCACCTTAGTGTCTGTGATTGGAACTACATACATTTTACTTTCTCTTCCACAGCTGGTCCCTGGACCACCTTTTGTGTTTGGAGCCTTTCTTGTGATGGTTGCTTTGTTGGTTGCTGCTTTTATTCCCGAGTCTCATCCAGTTGGTCACATACACCAGCAGTCTTCAATTTCTGCTGACAGTGATCCAGATATTGTTCACAAGTGTACAGATGGAGCGCAGCCTCTTCTACAAGACTCAGTTTCTTTATAGCATATTTCATAAACAATGTTTAATTAGTTTGTGCTGTACATAGTGATGTAGGGTATTAAGATGAAATGATGAGCAGCTATAATTATGAAAACCAAAATAAATCATTTCACTTTTTGTTGAATCATCAGATGGCTGCCACAGTATATAGAAGTATAAGTAGTTGAAGTGAATTGTTAATAGAAAGACTAAGTCTATATGCATTATTTAAACCAGATGTGAATGACTGGTGTTGCATGTCTCAATGTATCACTGGAAAACCTTTTTTCTTAACTATTTTAACATTATGTGTAAGAACACATGCTCACTTGAAAATTTTAGTAATATCTTCATTTAAGTGTTATTGTGAAACCTAAATAAACACAAGAATTAACATTACAGTACATGAGGGAGGTTTGTGTCTCAGTCTTGTTCTTAAACCGAAATAAACCCAATTTTTAATTTGTGAAATGTTTATTACAGAGAAATACACACACACATTTATATATAAATATGGCCATGCAATGTTTCATCCCTCTACTTAGGTCATCATCAGGCAAGAAAAAATAACAATAATTTGGCATGTTGAAGAATACAAGATTAAGATAATATTCTAATCATGTGAAACGAGAACAACAATAAAATAAACCAACAGTATTATTGACTATTTATGTACAGTATCTATGGAGGCATAGAAAGAAGTTTAAAAACCTTTACTTTTTTTTAAATAAATATTCTATTTATAAAGTTGTTTCTTAGAAATTTATTTGATAGTAAAATTTGCTTTAAAACAAATTACATGTGTAAGAGGAGTGTTATATTTGAAATGGGGGATGTTTCTTTTACTGATAGATTTTCTTTGATTAACAGTTTGGGGTCGGAATTACTATTACAAAGAATAGTGAATCCTGAGTGAGTTATTGGATTTCTACTTTCATGTCTGTGATTCTGGATTGCCAAATTTGGTGGACTCAAAAGGATGTTACCTAACCTCGGTGATACTCCCATGTGTTTGTGGATGCGCATGGTAAAATGTTTAGTTTTTCCGATATAGGCAGCGTTGCAGTCATCACACATGTATTTATATACAATATAAGAAGAAAGATAGGTAGACATTCGTTTGTGTTAAAAGAGATGTTTTAATGTAAAGGACAGTTTGATATGTGGGTAGAACTTCCTTATTAAAGACTAAAGTTGTTTAGAACGTATGACACTTTGTTGTCCTAGGTAAGGGATGGTCAATAAAACTGGGTATTTATCAACTGTGGACATTTTTTATGGGAGTTTCAAATCTTTTCAGAAATATCATGGTTGGGCATTCAATCATTGTCTTAGGGTATCCATTAAACAATAATATTTCATGGAGAAAACAATTTCAGAGAGTAAATTGAAATATGTTGAACAGATCTTAAAAGGCTCGAGTCAGTAGACATGTTGCTAGGTTGGTCCTACAGAAATGAAACCACCAAAGTGGGCGAGCTGTCCCATGAATGTTTTCTTTCATAATATTGACATTAAAAAACTTTCAGGATCTCAAGTAATTAGTACATCTAGAAAAGGCAAAGTATTCTTTTCTTCAATTTCATGGGTAAATTTATAGACAAGTGTTGTGAGTTTAAAGTACTCAAGAAATGGTTGAACTTCATCCTTTGATACAAAGTTACAAAAATGTCATCAACGTAGCATTAGTAAAATACTGGTTTGAATTTCTGTATTATTGCTGATTATTACTCAATGTTGTTAGTGATTCTATAGCTTAAATATGGCATATTGTTATTTTGGAATTTCTTTTTCCCCCGATTATTTATTTATTGATTGAAATACTTACTAACCTGGATTTATATATTGTATTGTTCATTAATGCTATTTTCAAGTCCGGGCCAGGCACCTATTTCGTTACTGTGTTTTGGTAACTTATCAGCTTTGTATTTCAGTTGTTTGAAAGTCACGCTTTAGATTTCTGTGGTTTTTAAAGTATAATAATTTTTTTTGTTCAACCCTGGTTGTAGTGACAAGTTACTGTTACAGTTTAACCAAGATTGTTTGTGGTGGCTGAAAAACGTTAGCTAGAGTTGGTTCTAGTGGGGATCCATAGCCTTTCCATTAAATGGTTGTGCTTTACAGAGTGGATAATTAAATATCTAAATTGTTCCTTAGTTAGACCATAAACAAGAGACTCCTTCTGAAAAAGTTTTTTGAAGCAAATATCAATGGTATCAATTAATGGAATGTTTGTGAATAAAGAAGTTATGTCAGAGCTAGCCATAAAACATTCATTTGGAGGATGTGGATCTTTTAACAAATGAGAACAAGTCCAGGACATTAAATTAATTAAATATTAATGGTTTAAGAATAAGTACTTTGTAACTGTGCATTCTGATTACTGAAAGTATAGGGCATAATGGATGATTCTGTTCATGAATCTTAGGGAAGCCATACGTTATACCAGGTTGCGATCCACATGGATATAATTAATTGAATGCATTGTCAGTAATTATGTTTTTGTTTTTTAAGTCCCTAAGGAAGCATTGTAATTTTTCTTCCCTTTTTATGCTCAAAACCCAAGACTTATTTAAGACTAAATTGTAAATCCCTTGCTTTTTTCATCTTTTCACAATCATAATTTTTCTCATTATTCTTTCTCCCTTAAAAAGGAAGAATTTTCAACTCTAAAGAAACTTTCACACAATCCAAACATAACTGTAATATGCCCAAATAAAGGAAATGGAGTCGTGTTATTAGACAAACTATACTATCTTGAGAAAATTAACACCATTCTGAGTGGCACTACACAGTTCAAACCCCTTACATCAGATATGCTCTCCCTAACTATTCAAATTCCAATTAACATTTAATGAATTTACTGCCCTTTACTCACTCTCATTTGTTAAGAGTTAAAAAAACTACACCATCCTAATGAATGTTTTATGGCTAGTTTTGATATAACTTTATTCACAAACATTACACTGGTTGAGACCATTATTAACATTTCTTTGGAAAAACTCTCAATGGATCTCTTGTTCATGGTCTAACTAAGAAACAACTTTGATCTTTAATCATCCAGTTTGTATTTAATGGAAAACTATATAACCAAATTGATGGAGTGGCTGTGGGATCCCCACTAAGACCAACTCTAGCTAACATATTTCTGAGCCACCATGAACAATCTTGGTTTAACAACTGCCCACAAAAATTCAAACCAGTATTTTACAAATGCTACGTTGATGACAATTTCATCATCTTTTGATCAAAGGATGAAGTTCAACAGTTTCTTCAGTACTTAAACTTGCAACACTCATCTATAAAGTTTACCTTTTCAAGATGCTCAGTTTTTTAATGCCAATATATTGAAAAAAACCATTCACAAAACAGCTTACCCAGTTTGATAGTTTCATTTCTTTATGATACAAGATCAACCTAGCAACATGTCTATTGACTCGAGCCTGTGAGATCTGTTCAACTTATTTCATTTCACTCTCTGAAATATCATCCACAACACAGTCCTCCTACATACTTAATTTGTTTTAAAGCAACTTTTATTATAAAATGACATTCTAATAAAACACTTTATAAATAAAATGTTATATATATAAAAAAGTTTTTAATCTTTGTTCTCTACCTCCATAGATACTGGATGTAAGTAGTCAATAATACTATTGGTTAATTTTTCGTTGTTCTTGCTTCGCATGATTAGAATATTTTAATCTTGTATTCTCCAATGTGATAAATTATCATTATTTTTTCTTGGCTAAGTAGAAGGATGAAACATTGCATGGCCATATTTATATATATGTGTGTGTGTGTGTATTTCTCTGTAATAAGCAATTTAATGCAAAATTTAAGGACAAGGGGCCTATTGGTCCATCTAGGCCATCCACTAAACTGTTGAAAAAACTGAAGCCAGTTTTTATCATTCAAATATTTATCAAGACTTCACTTAAATTAACTGCACCTACCACATCTAAAGGCAAATCACCCTATTAGGAAAATAAAGCTGTCTTAGCTGAAGATGACTCCTACCATTACAACTTTTCTATGTGATCCTGTGTGGTAACTTCTTAATCAGAATTCTCACCATTAAATATGAAAAAAAAAATGCAACAACACTATAAATTCCCTTATCAATCTTATTCTTCTTTTTTAAAGAGAAAACAATCTAAAATCCTGCTTGCCTTACCACTAGTAACAGCACAATGCTTCAATGGCTTAAGAGACTGATCAACCAAAACACCAAGATTTTTAAGGTTAAACTCACAACTCAAATTTTAAACTACCTGTATTAAGGATATTATATGAAACCAAAATAAACAACTTAACGTTGTAGTATGCAAGTCAAGTTTGTTTAAAACACTTTTACTGCACTAAGTGCTTGTTTACAGAATAATGGTATATTCTCAGGTTATTTCCTTCTTCATTTGAGGAAACATTTTGAGACATTTTTAATGCTCTCAAAAGTACCTTAGCTTACAGATTTTTTGAAGTTAATCAACTCAATCATTCTACATTTTGCAGATAATTCCATAAGAATGAACACATTTAAGAACTTAATGCAAGGTTCTATGGACTTGTTTCATTTCTTTACTCCGTGTACATATATACACTTCCTGTCCATAGTTAAATAGACACTCTCTCCAGAAAGAATGCCATTTCATTAAATAAACAAACATGAAATAAAGCTTACAAAACTAATATGTACTGGATCTGCCTTTTACAATATTTATGGTAGAAACAATATTCCAACTTAGAAGATATGGTACCTAGGCTTGTGGAATTGCACTCCACTCCTTGGACCTAGAAGTTGATTTTTTTGGATGCTTTGACAGGACATGAATAAAGGATGAACTAATGTGCTCCATAGGGTTTATATTCAGCAACTGACTTCAATACAGGAGAGTGGTACTGATGTGACCTTCAAGTCATCATTTTGTGACTGGCTAAATGACATAGCTTGGATATAAATACTGCTTTATCTGGTGAGATGGTCAATGGCTTGGACATGGAAGAATGGTAATTCTCTGACCTTTAAGTCATTGTTTTGTGACTTGAGAATTCTGATATATCAAGTAGCGATGACTGTTTCATCACACAGCACCAGCTGCCCAACTAACACTCCTCATTATACAGACATACTGCTGTATTTATTATTGCTTGCAGACAGTTTAGCAAAAGTCCCTGGGAGGACAGTCATCAAATGTAGGTGCAGCTGCTGTTTAAGATTTGTGCCAAGCTAGACTTGTCAGAAAAAGTGACCCAATAGACAAGAAGGTGTGATAACATCTGAAATGCCCTCTGCTGTTGAAGTAAAATGTTACCTGAAATGAGGATTAGATTTCATCCAGCTACTCTGTCACTGTAGCTCATACTATGAGGATAACTTATGATGGTATAAGGGCGCACTTGTACC